CCTCTAGGGTGGCTATGAGTCAGAATCAACTCAATGGCATACAACAACGATCAAAAAGGTACACCAAGCCAGCACACAGAGCCAACCCAGGTTTGAGTAGACAGCTAACATATTCATTTGCAAAGTACTTGATTTGCCAACGACTGGAACATGATGTTACCTAACAGACCTTTAAAATTTGCCTACATGGGAAAAAAAGAACCTGTAACCTATCAGTTAATCAGGAAAACCAACCACATGGGTCCAGAAAACCAAAAGGGACAGTGGCAGTGGACACCTGGGAGGCTCAATCAACGTCTTCCCACCAAAGGGGCAGAGGAGTCAGTCGATGCTGAATACGAGCCCCCGAGAGGCCAGGATCCTGACAGACCAGCAAAGAACAAGGAAGGTTTCACAATACACGAAAAAAAGTCAGCTGGGGAATGTGGATGAGAGCCCTGATAAGCTGACCATGTCTATACATGGAAGATAGGACAGTGAATCGCCAATGGAAACGAGATGGCAATCAGCCGGGATCCTGAGGAATTAATCATGCTCAGCAAACTTCATTTTGTTCTGACAAGCTTTGGTTCAATGTACAAGAGTCAAGAATAAAGACAGCTCAACCCTATTGTTTATTTGTACAGCAAATAAGCGAGATGATGTCAATAGCATTAAAAGAAGTCTTAAAGACCGGTTTCCTTGCTGGTTAAGTGCATTCCAAGAATTTGAACGTGTGGCAAAAGCTAGTAGCCAGAGTGATTTTTCTAAAACCTAAGGTAAATAGCATGCCCCCCTGCTCAAAGCCTCCCTACCCACCCACCCTGCTCAGGGTAAAACCAACATTCTTGTTGCAGCAGCTCACCCTCAACCCTAATTTCATCTACCACCCCCTCCCCCAGCCATCTCAGCCTCCTCGCCTTATTTCTTAATATGATTATTTTTTAATCATTTATTTTATATTTATTGTTGTTGAGAATATACACAGAACATACACCAATTCAACAATTTTGACTACATCTGATTGATTACACGGATTACAATTTTGAGTTTTGCAACCATTCTCTCCCTCCTTTTCCCAATTGTTTCTGTCCCATTAACATAAACTCACTGCCCCCTAAGCTTCCCGTCTCATCTTCCGAGTTGCTGTTGTCACTTTGATCCCGTATAGATAATGCTCAAAGCAGGCAGTCTTTACAAGTTAAGCTAAATTATTATTTGGTTTATTAAGGTTTAAAGGTTATCTCAGGGCAATAGTTTTGGGGATTCATCCAGCCTTCATGGCTCCAGAATGTCTGGATTTCATGAGAATGTGAAATTCTGTTCCGTATTTACCTCTTTTGATCAAGATTCTGCTATAGAATCTTTGGACAAAATGTTCAGTAATGGTAGCCATCATTGCCCTATTTTAAAACCACCTGTGGTGAAATGAGTTATTTTATGTGGCCTTTTGCCTTGGTTCTTTGGAAAAACAGCTTGAGATCTTTCCCCTAATCCCTGACAAGCTAACCTTTGCCTGAATTTTCTGCGCTAGAATGTTAGTTACTTTTGTCCAGGTTGACTGACATATCCTGGATAAGCTGTAAACAGCTTGGTTTTGACACTTTTTGTCTGGTCCTGGGCTGCAGCCTGCCCTGTGATTGGTATGCACCTTCCACGGATTGGTCAATAGACTATGCAAATGAGATGAGTTGTAGCCTACTATGCAAATGAAGTGTCTGTGGCCTACCAGGAAGGGATTGCTCAGTTCATCGCCCGGGTGGCAGAACCATGCCTTGAAATTGGCAGGCAGTTTATGTACTTAATCAGCCAACAGAGGTTCTTGAAACAGAAAGAAACAGGAAGAGAGACAGAAAGAAGAAAAAAGCAGAGACAGAACCTTCTAAAAGACCTGAAAACACAGTCAAGGGCTGTAACGGAAGGGCCCAGCAACAGAGGCAGCAGACACACACGGCAAGGCCAAGAGAAGCCTGTCCTGAGGGGCCGAGAGGAGGCTTGCACGGCCAAAGAGGAGCTGAGAGCTGTCCTGCACTGAAGAAGGGAGACTGTATCTATATGCTTCCTGATCCTGAATTGTACCCTGTTCTTTAATAAACCACTTAAGTATGGCCCGTGAGTTGTGTGTGGCCACTGCAACAGATTATTGGACCCAGCAGAGAAGCAGAGTGCCGTGGGAGGGACAGCTAGTGTCAGAATTGGTAAAAAGGTTGGAGAGTGGAGGTATATCTGACCTCCACCTCATAGGGGCCAGACTTGGGCTGATCTTGTTTCACACTGTCTCCTCTGAAGTTAGACATGTTCTGACAACACTACTACTTCCGCTTTTTCACACCACCACAGTCCACTTGCTGGCTACAGGTTATTTACAATTCTCCCAAGTACAAAATACACTTATTTCCTCCCAAGGCCTCAAAGTTCCCTCCCACTACAGCATTGGCCCAAAGTCCAGAATCTGGTCATCTAAGTTAGGTCTGGTGCAGAGGAGGCTTCCCAGACGTCACTGCTAAGTACAGCTCCTGGTATACAGTTCCTCTTGATCTGAAGATCTGTGAACTAGAGACAAGTCCTCTGCTGTGACCCCACACCCACCCCGATATACACACCCCCCCAACGTACAACAGTGGGACAGGCATAAGATAGCTGCGACAGTCCTGTTCGAAAATGGTGGGGATGGGAGGGAGTGCAGGGGGCCACAGGAGTCACTGGTGCACGGCAACTCTGAAATCCAGCCGGGAACATGCTGCTGTTTCCTGGATTAAGGCTCATTCCTACTCTACCCATGATTCTCCATGGCTCTTTGCTCTGCCCTCTGGATTCTACCCCCTGAATTATCCTTCCTTTTCCATGGTGAGGCAGCCTGTGTCTGCAGCTGTGTGATTTTCTCATCCTGTTTCCTGCCAGTAGAATTTTGAGGGTCCAAAGGCCTCTTTTCATTTTGTATTGTCTTTCCTTTCTGTCAAACCTGGCAGTGTTTCTGCCAGTATAATTCTTTCAAAAGTTTTGTGAGTCTCCTGTAAATCTCATTTGGGTTCAATTCATTCGACAAAAGTCACACTTAGTCAAAATAATCCCTTCTGTCTTGGGCTCCTGCTGCAGGACAAACTCTTAAAAGTTCTCAGAAGCCCTATCGTTTAAAAAATTTTTATAAAGGATTTTTACAACAACATCCTCAGTTTCATCTATAGATCATGTTTTCCACCCTCTGGATTTCATCTATGCTTGGAACTCGTTTCTTAATTTCGGCATTGTTTGCCATTGCCATCAAGGGGAAAAAAAGCATTGCTGTTGAGTCAATTCCGACTGATGGCAACAGCATGTACTTCAGGTAGAAATGCTCCACAGTTTCCTTGGCTGTCATCTTTAGGGAAGCAGACCACCAGGCCTTTCGTCTGTGGTGGGCCTACAAAGGTTTCAACCACCACCCTTTTAGGTTAGTAGTTGAGTGCAAACCATTTGTACCATCCAGGGACCTTCTGCCATCAAGACAGGCTGAGAATATTCAAAACCATTGTGACAGCTCCTTCATGTTTAACTGTCCTTCCTCTGGCTTTTCTCTCTACTCTTGGTATAAGCAACGAGAAGCCAGAAGGTACCTTTGACCTGTTTAGAGATCTTCCAGTTCATTAGGCACATTTTCTATCTTCTACCATCATACTGCAGCAGTGTTGCTAACCTTTCTGTCACTACGTAACAAGAATCCACTTTACTCCAGTTCCCAACAGATTTTCAACCTGCAGGTTTTCACGTCATCTCCTCAAAGTCCCTGTGGCTCCCACTAACAGCTCTCTCGTGGCTTTCACACACATGCCTCAAAGTCCTCCCAGCTTCACTCCATCTTAGGCTTTAGTTATGCAGTCAACGTGCCACACTGCCACCACAGGGCCTTGGCACTTGGCTACCCCGTGGGGTGAATACCCTTTACCCAGATAGCACATCTATGTTCAAACGTCACCTTAACAGACATCTGACCACTCTACAGAACAGCCAGTCCCCACTGCCCAGTCTTCCTCCATGCCCCCTACCCTGCTTTATTGTCACTTATCACTTACCCTGACACTGTATTTGCTTCTCTATGATTTACTGTAATACTCCCAACATTGAGTGTAGGGACTTTGGGGCATTCTACTACCTGATATATCCTGTGTCTGCTAGACTACTTGGCACATGCTGTCAGTTAAGCAAATGTATTAAGTGAATAAGGGTTTCTGCCCTTTTAAAATACCTTGAAGATACCATGGCCATCCCTTGCTTGGAGTCCAGCATCACTCCCAAGGCAGCATTCTTAGGGCATCCAGCCATGACTGTGGGCTGGTAGAACGTCTGCAGGCAGAGCTGCCAGGGCCCAAGGATGACATTGTGGGAGACAGACCGTGGGCAGGGAGGGCATCCCCCCAGATCCAAGGTCCAAACACCTGCTCTGCTCCAGGAGAGACTGCACAGCCCTGGTTTGTCACACGGGACAGGAAGAGGCTGGTAAATAAGCACAAACCCAATTGCAGGCTTCCTAAGCCTGTTACTGTGTTCCGTGGAGTCAATTCTGACTCACAGCAACCCTGTATGACAGAGTAGAACTGCCCCAGAGGTTTCCTAGGCTATAATCTTTGCAGGAGCAGACTGACATGTCTTTTTCCTTGCAGCAGCTGGTGGGTTCGAACTGCCGACCTTTCAGTTAGCAGCTGAGCCATCAGGCCTCCTTCTGTGTAAGCGTGCAGGGCACAAGCCCCTGTGAGCAAGAGGCCCCAGGCATAGGAAGCACACACCAAATACAGGGCTGAGCCCGCACTCTGCTGTGACCTGGACCCCAGAGCTCCAGCCTGTATCAGGATCTGCCACCTTGAGAGCATTCAGAGCTCCAAACCGACCCATGTGGTGGTGTGGGATTAAAGGAGCCCACACAGGGCACAGAGCAGGGGCTGGCACTGGGTAAGCAGTGTCGAGGGTCAGCCACGGTACACAGCCCCTCCCTCTTGTGCCACGGGAGAGCTTCAGATGTGAGACAGGTACCCACTCCAATCCTCCATACACTGAGTTATTATGACGGGTAGCCGAGTCATCAATTTAATAATTCAGTTAAAGGTTCTTTTCTTTTTATTTCTGTAACATTGTTCCATACAAAAGCAATAGAAACATAACAGTCTTAACAAGAAGTTTACAAGTGAATATATGAACAGAAAATCTGTACACATTATCATTTACAACAATTTTACATGGTAAATTAACTGATTAAAAAAATAAAACAAAACTTCTTTCTATATCCCTTCCATTGCCTTAACTCTTGGAATCTTATAGGTAGAAAAACCTACCCAGCTAGCACTATTTACAAGTACCCAATTAAGACTGCGTAACTTACATAAAAGTCACTAACTTTAACAGCTCTGCTTAACAGCTTTGATGATTCAGGGCTCTGCATGAGGAAATCACCAACCTGACATCTTGACAAAAAGCCAAGAATGAAGTGTACATGAAGATGTTAAAGGTCTCAAATTCTGAAAACGCTGTCAGATAACAGTAGACAAAAGCTGACTCCACGTTGGCTCCGTGGATACACAGAAAAATTCAAAACCAACCCATTTCACAAGTGGCAATTTAATACATAAAATACTGTGAAAAACCAGTTTAAGTATTCTTGTCAGATTATAACTTGGAGGCTGATAGAGGTTTAAGCAATTAAGTTTGTTTCCAGATTTCTTCAAGTCCAATCTTTCTTGGATTTGGTTCCTTTTACAATTTAAAACATGCAAAACACACTCATTATACATAACATTATGCCCAGAAACACTACATGACTACGATCATATTCGTGCAGGACAAGCACACCGAGAATTCAAAGTTATTAGCTAATTAAAACTCATGGGTTAACATCAAATCTCATTTTAAGCTGAAGTGTCAAATTCTACCCATAGAACTTCCCCTTAGAACTGGAAGCTAACAGACTTGACATCTCTGAGTACGGATGCCTCAACTCTGAACGGTGTGGCTTGTAGACGGACGCTCAATTCCACACTCGGCTGCCTTGAGAAAACAGTCACACCGCTGAGCACTCTGAAGACGAGGAGAGCTGCGTCGGCCTCAGCTCAGTCGGGAGACCCTGGGGATGGAGGACAGCCCTTTCCTGAGACCGCTTCACCTCCTGAAAACAGGGCCATGCCTCCACCTCACCACCACCAGGAATCATGTGAGATATGTCAAAGTCCTGGACCCTTCACTCCTAAGTGGGACGAGTCCTAATTAATTACACCGCAAAAAGGGACCACGTCTACTATTTACAAGGCGTTGTGTGTAACACAAAGTGTGCGTGTATACACCCACGTAATACTTTGAGTACAGAAGGAATCAGAAAAGTTTTGACAAAATCATGAATGGTGGCTACCTCAGGGCAGGAGGTGACCGTGTCTGACTGGACACATTTCTGAATTGCTTTAATGAACATGGTTGTTTCAATTTTTTAAGTTTAATTGAAAATTCATATATTCAAGTGTGAGAACTCACAAATTTGAGAGCTTAAACCGATTTCCTGCCCAAAACATTTTCCCAATTAAAACCAAGGTTTTCCTTGAGTTGATGTTAATGGTGATGGAATGTTTTGGAAAAGGACAGAGATAATGGTGGCAGAACATGAAAAATGCAATCAATGTCACTGAAATGTTAAGTGTGGAAGCTGTACTGGTGAATATTTTGGGGTATGTTTTCACCACAATTTTAAAACAAACCAAAAATCCCAAGGTTTTATTGTAAATATAAACAAAAATCCTATCTTTATAAACAGAGAAATCTGGTAGATTCTGCCTGAACGTGCTATCAAATTTAACATCACCAATGACCGGCCCACTGTCGTGTTCTTGCCGAGACTGTCCACCCTGAATTCCAATCTTAAGAAAATAACCTGATAATTCCCTATTAAGGAACATTCTGCACAAAAACTAGCCTGAACGCTTTAAAAAAGAAAGAAATGTCTTGGGGGAGAAAAGGCAGGAGACTGTTCTAGGTTAAGGAAACTGAGAGACACAGCAACAATGTTGTGATCCCTGATCAGACCCTGGATCAAAATAATACAAAGAACTGCTACAGGACGTTACTGGGACAACTGGGAGCCGGAATCTGGGCTGTTTATTGGACAGCAGTGTTTGATCAACGCTGCACTTCCTGGGCGTGATAACCGTACCATGGGCACGCCCAGAGCATCCTGAGTATGAGGAGATAAAAGTGGCAGTATTGAGCGGGAAGCTCCGACTCCTTCTGGTGGTTTAGGAGCACACGGCTCACCAGGGAGGTTACACGCACGCATGCTGTACTGCAGAGTTGACATTTTTCACCAAAGGCTGGGAGCAGACTGTGTCTAAGTATCTTTTAGCCCAGCCTTCTCGCCTCCCTTCAGCATATCCAGTATCTCTCACCAGGACCTCTCAGCCCTAGCCTCTCCGTCTGTGGTGAAATGAGTTCCTTTCTGTGGCCTTTAGCCTTGGTTCCTTGGGAAAACAGTCTGAGAGATTTTTTCCCTAAACCCTGAGGAGTTACCTTTGCCCTAGTTTTCTACCCCAGAGGGTTTGTTACTTTTGTCCAGGTTGATTGACATTTCCTAGGGAAACTGTAAACAATTTGATGGTGTGATACTTTTCTCTGGCCTGGGCTGAACCTGCCCTGTGAACGGTATGCACCTTGCAGGGATTGGTCAATATACCCATACAAATGAAGTGTTTGTGCCCTACCTAGAGGGGATTGAGAGGGGCTTGGTCAATTCGTGGCCCCGGTGGGAGGGCCATGCCTTGAAATTGACATAAAGTTTGTGTATATATGCAGCCAACCCACACGGGTTTTTCAGACAGAAAGAAACAAGCAGCAGCAGAAAAGAGAAGCAGAGAGAGAGGAGGCAAGAACTCCTAAAAGCTGTACCATGGGTCAAAGGCTGTAACAATGAAGACAGCAACAGGCCTGGAAGGGGCCCTGCAGCACAGCCAACAGCAGGGAGACCCAAGGCAGAGAGGCCTGTCCTCAGGGGGCCAAGAGGAGGCATGCACAGCAGAGAGAGGGGCCTGCTTGCCTGCAGGGCAATGCAGGGCTGAGAGAGCTGTCCCGCACTGAAGGGAGTCTTTGCCTATAGACTTTCTGATCCTGAGATGTAGCCTGTTGATCCAGGTCCCAGTTGAACCCTGTTGCTTCCTTAATAAACCATTTAACTCAAGTATGGCCTGGGAGTTCTGTGAGGCCACTGCAACAGATTAGGGAACCCAGTAGAGAAGTAGACTGCCGTGGGAGGGACAGAACTGGTAAAAAGTTTGGAGAGCGGAGGCATATCTGACCTCCACCTCACAGGGATCAGCCTTGGGCAGATCTTGATCAGCATTATCCCCCCCTGAAGTTAAACAGGTTCATCATTTTATATCCTCCCTGCACCCCAAGTTCTCCTGGTCTAGCCTCATCCTTGTGTGCAGTCTCTTCTTCCCGTCTCCTTTCCCCAGGGCCGCTCATTCACTGCTTAACTTCTGGAATTGCACACGGCATGTTCATAATGATTCTCAAACTGGGGTAAGGGTTACATTTCTTTTAGATTACAAAAGTGGCTCTTAATCCAAACTAAGGATGACCCCCTGCTGAGATCCTGACAGGTTTCTTTCCCAGTCCCATCTGCGTGTCCCCTTTAGATTACAAAAGTGGCTCTTAATCCAAACTAAGGATGACCCCCTGCTGAGATCCTGACAGGTTTCTTTCCCAGTCCCATCTGCGTGTCCCCTTCCTAGTGCAGAAGACTGATGAGCCACAAAAGTGGGAATATCATATAGTTAAATCTCGTTCGTACTGACTTTTACAATTTTCCCACATAATTAAGTAGTCTTCAAAAACATACTCTGGAATAGGTGTATTCTTCATAAGGTAAACAATTCTGCCATTCCTTCACTATTGGACATTTACATTACTTCTAATCTTACAGTCAAAAAAAAAGCTGTGCAGTGTGCAAATGGTTAACAAACCTGGGAGGACACACACCAAGTTTTCCAGATGGAAGGCAGGTAAAGGTGACCTTCCACTTTTATATGTTTCTGAACTGTTCATATACAGTACAGAGTCTTACAAAAGCATGACTACTTTATAACAATATTTACGTTTTCTGGTTTTGTAACCTGTCTTTTCACTTAACGTGTTAAATGTTTCCATACGTAAATACTAGAGTGATCTCCTCTACGAAAACAGTAAAGGGATCCTTTTATTGTAAACTGCCAACGTACATTTAACTGTACACGTGCAGCGGTCTGGAAAACATGCGCCCAATCATTGATTACAGGATTAGAGGGGAAACATTTTTCTACATTGCTATTGATCTTTGAATTTTTTTTCCTCAAAAACGTCATTTTCAATTGGCAAATGTGGGGGGAGGGAGGAGCGTGTCCAAGACACACAGCACTTCCTTATTTAATAACAAGCACATGGTTCCTCGCTAGCGATTCACCAACGCCAACCTACACACCCGACAATTACGTGTTGTGGCAATGCACGTGTCAGCGCTGGGATCAAGGGAAAAGGTCTTTTACCTTTCAATTAAAATGGTGAAATTGATCAGTCTGATTTCATCGAAATCCTAAATTAAGCTCACTAACCAAGAACTCAGTATCTTATGATCTAATCTGACGTTTCAGTGATGGGAAATACGGTAAGGAACCATGCTTTCATAAGCATCCCAATCATCTGTAATCTCTACAGTGGTGGACATTGTCAACAACGAACCGGGCACATCAAGCTGAAGGTTTAATAACCACGGAGGTACTTACAAAGTTGTCCTGTGAGCTTGTCTGGGATTCGGAGCTGCTTTCTGTTGATTCAGTCTCCATCTCACCTAGGTCTACAGGGTGTCTGTTAAATGAAACAGTTGGGGACGTTAGGACCCCGTTTAACAAAGCTGAGAGAAATGTCCTCCAAGTCTGTACGCTAAAACAACACCGTAACATCAGGTGGCCCCTGGTAGACAAGGATGCTTCCTAAGCTCCCTGAGAGGTGAAATGTTTTCACTGGACCCCACCTGCCAGACAAGCAGCCCCTGCCCAATCAGCTGACCAGAGATAAGCCGGCAGTGAAAAGCTCAACTTTATCAGAGCATACCTAATCTGCCATTCTCTACAGTCTCGGCATTGTTCACACACCCCTACAGGGTCACTACTAGTAGAGGCGTTAATACACCCGATTTGTTAGGGGGAGGAACACTGAGAAACTATCCTACACACACGAATACTAATTTTTCCAATTTCCTACTCCTTAAAAAGAGAATGGGCCAACAGTGTCACCCTGGGGAAAAAAACCTGGATATGTGTGAGGCCAAATTTGTAAAGCCCTGTTAGAAATCCCTTCAAATTTGCCAGCCCCAAAGCAGAAACTCCTATGTGTTGAATGAACACATGCACCTCTCATAGGGGAGAGGTTCAGGACGAGAGGGGGGCTGGGAAGAAACACCACACCAAGGGAGGAAAGCACACAACTCTTCTCCCTGCCTCCCTGTTCAACAGGGAATTCCGACCATTCTGTAAAAACATAGGCTGGAGACACTCAACCAGGTAGAAGTTGAAAAACCAGTGGAAAAAAGATAAAAGCTTCCCTTAATCAAAAAGACCCTTAAACCTTGGAAACATTACTATCCTAAATGAAATAAGTCAGTCATCAGAGGACAAACACTGTATGATCTCACTTATATGAAATAAGCAAATACAGAGACCCCAGAGATAATGAGTGGTTACCAGGGGTGGGAGGGAGGAGGAGGGGGAAGATTCCACTTAGGGGGCGTTGAGTTTACGTTAATGGTGGTGGATGCCTTGTAAAAGGACAGTAAGAAAGGCTGCACAATTTGACGGATGTAACCAAAGTCACTGAATTATACCTGCAGAAATGGCTGAGTTGACGTATGTTTTGTTGTGTATAATTTCTCCACAATAAAAATAAAAAATAAAAAAGACTTTCTATTTCCATATCCATGTAAGTGATCCAAATACTTTTTAAGATGTAAATCTCCCCCTCAAAAAGGCACATATTCCTAGATGAACTCCCCCTCTCGCCCCTCCCAGAGCCCACCCACCCAGCCCCACACACTTCTGCACCGAGAAACCTGGCCTGAAGCTATGACAATTTGCTGCTTTGCTCCCTCAGACCTTCCAGGGTACTAAACACCAGAACCCGCCACCCAAGTTCCACACAAAGCTGTTTAAGTCATGGTACACATCAAGAAAAGCAGAACAAGAAAGCTTTAGAGACATACATGTCCTGCAGATCACACCCCTCTTCGGCGGGGGGATCCCAGAAGTGCAGCGCAACCTTCCAAAGTCTGATCTGCTGGTCCCACGACCGCCGGCTGTACTTCTTAAACTTGTTGGGGGTCTTGGGGTGAACGCCAGGCTGTCGAAGGTGTCTACAGAAGAGAGCGAGATTACCCTAGCAATACCAATCAACATTTGCATGTGGAGGCATTAGCTTGAAAGCTTGAAGATGAACCAAACTCTGAGATTAGCAATACTTAAAAAAAAAAATTAAAAATCAACTGAGATTCTAGAAAATGAGAAAACAAAACATTTAAAAAGCACTACCTCTTTGAATCTTACTATTCCTTTGTAATTCACATTCCGGAAAACTAAGTATTTAACCCCAATCCTGCCAAGAGGTTGATGAGAACCTGACGTTCTCTTTTTATCCTTTTGTGTCTGTCTTTGGGAGAGAGGGAGGGACACAGGCAAGCTGCTCACACACAAGAGTGACGCCAATGTTCTTCTCCAGTTGGCTCTTTACAATCTTGAACTTCAACTTTATTTCCATCATGTATTTTAATATCTTTTTATCTATAAAGTTGCTATGAGTACTGAGAAACGAAATCAAAGTCAAAATTACGAAAATGTTATTTCTAACCCTTCTTGTCCTTGGTTTTTCAGTCGTCTATTGAGTGCCCATTTTTATTTACATAATAAGCTACTTACGTCACTGATAAACGGTTCGTAAACCAAACAAATCTGCTGCAGCGGAGTCAATTCCGACTCACAGCAACCCTGTAGGACAGAGAACCGTCCCATAGGAGTTCCAAGAATGTAATTTTTATAGAAGCAGACCACCAGGTCTTTTCTCCCTCAGAACGGCTGGTGGGCTCAAACCTCCAACCTTTCAGTTAGCAGCTGAGTGCTTAACCAGTGCGCCACCAGGGCTCCTTAAATGGTTCTCAGCAGGTATGAATCACTCCCACAACCAGATTTATCTCCACAGCTCTGAGAAGCACCATGCCACAGGACTTATTCAGAATGTGCCCAAGAGACAGAATTACCTTGGCACTTCTTTAATGTAGCGGTCGTAGGCAATGGTGTTCTTCCCGTAGTTGATCTGCTTCTGTCTTCTCATCAACACACTCTCATCTGTCTCTAGGTCAGCCGGCACTGCAGACACGGACTCCTTCGAATCAGAACTGAAGGAAACAAGAAACGAACGAGACAAGCCTTGCCGTTAAGACCATCACGTAAATGAAGCCCAGGAAATGCTGAAACAGTAACGGATCCTCAACCAGATCAACCCCAGGACAGTCCAGAATCTTTGGTTATGTGGAACCCAAGTACACAAGAGAAACAATGTTCCTCATCAGTGAACAAAGACGGACTTGTCAGTAAATGTTTCCGGGGCAATCTCTGTTTCTCACATTCACAATCATCTCCCTAACAAGTGAGAGGTCTAGCAAATCAGAAAGATGGCTTCGGCACAGCATTTACCTTCCCGAGGATGACTTCCTCTCTCTTCCAAAGTCATTTATGAGAAGTTTCCTTTTATATCTGAAAGCAAAATAAACATTACTGTTCATAAAAGGTATAAAAACCAACCTAACACTTGGTGCTTCCGGAGCTACACGATTACCGCCGGGAGCTAAGCTGCCTGCGTCCTGAGCGTGCGGTGTGGGTGAGTGGGTTAGGTAAGAGCGTGCTGCTTCTTTACTTTCAACCTCCTTCAGTCACCATCATTTTACAAGAGGAAGATAAAGGTCATTTGCCAAGATCACAGTCAGTGCTCAAAGCAGCTCGGTTTTGAGAGCCAAGGAAGCCCTGACGCCCACAGACACTGCTGTATGTAACGCGGGGGCTTCCTAGGCCAGAAGAAACCCCCCCAGTTCCAGTCGCTTAAATCGTAAGATTCAAATGTTTATGCTGCAAAAGCTTAAAAGCCTTTTGAAAAAAATAAGCACACACTGAGAGCCAAGTTCCTATTTCTTATATAACCACAACTCCTTACTAAGGCAAAGTGTGTGCCTGCTGGGCACCGTACACCTTCCCCCATCTTGGAAACAGACTGGACACAGCCACCCTCAGTTCTTGCTCCTCACTGATGTCATGAGGTACTTGCTTTTTATCACAGCAACTACCCAAATCCAGCTTTGCAAAGGTCTGCTACGTCACTGCCAGGAGGGTAGTACAATCTAAGGTCGAAACTGGAAACGACTTCCAGCTAGTAGTCTGTGCGGCATCCAGAAGATGCAGAGAATCACTAGGTTCCCCTCGGAAGTCTAAAATCCCCGCAGTGTCCTCGAGTTTGCTGGGGCATCCCAGAACACAGTCTGGACACTGGGAGGTAATGAATTAATCTTCTACATATCCAGAATGGCACTAGCTCTGAAGTAATATAACCAGAATGCTCCTGAGAAGTGAGCGTGGTGAAACTTCAGCTCACTTACTTTGGACACATCATCAGGAAAGACCAATCACTAGAAAAAGATATCATGGTTGGTGGAGTACCCAGAGGGTCAGCAAAAACAAGGGAAACCACCAGTGAGACGGACTGACGTAACAGTTAGAACAATGGACTCAAACATACCAACAATCATGAAGACAGCACAAGACCAGAAAACGTTTTGTTCTGTTACACAGAAGGTCGCCATAAATTGGACACAACGCAGCAACTAACTATATACCACCCTTGTGAGAACCAACAAAATAGTCCCTCAAGGCTGTGGGGACCATGGTCTCAGGGAACATCTAGCTCAATTGGCATAACACAGTTTATAAAGACAATGTTCTACATTCTACCTTGGTGAGTAGTGTCTGAGGTGTTAAAAGCCTGTGAGCAGCCATCTAAGATTCTCCAGTGGTCTCATCCCTTCAGGAGCAAGGGAGAATGAAGGGAATAAGATACAAGGAAAAGATTAGTCCAAAGGACTAATGGACCACAGCCACCAAGGCCTTCACCAGACTGAGTCCAGTACAGCTAGATGGTGCCTGGCTACCACCACTGACTGCTCTGACCAGGATCACAACAGAGGGTTCTGGACAGAGCTGGAGAAGGATGTAGAACATAATTCTAACTCACACACAAAAAGAAAACACCAGATTTACTGGCCTGACAGAGACTGCAGAAACCCCGAGTATGGCCCCCAGACACCCTTTTAGCTCAGTGGTGAAGTTATCTCCGAGGTTCACCGTTCAGCCTGGGAGTGGACAGCCCCATAAAACCAAATGGGACTAACGAGGTACACTAGCCCAGTGACAAGGGCCAGAAGGCAGAAAGGGACAAGGAAGCTGGTGATAGGGAACCCAAGGTTGAGTAAGGATATTGTTGATGTGTTGTGAGATTGTTAACCATTGTCATAGGGCAACATGTGTAGTAACTGTTAAATGAAAAACTATTTTGTTCTGTAAGCCTTCATCTTAAGTGAGAATAGCAGCACAACTGGAAGAGTGTAGTCAATGTCACTGAACTGTGCATGTAGAAATTTTTGAAATGGTGTATCTTTGGCTATGTGTATTTTCGCCAAAAAAAAAAAAAAAAAAAAAAAAAGATTGAGAAGTTAGAGGGTTGACATGTTGTGGGGTTCTTAACCAATGTCATAAAGCAATATGTGTACTACTGTTTCATGAGAAACTATTTGTTCTATAAGCCTTCACCTGAAGTACAATTAAAAGAAAAAAAAAAAATAGTCCCTCAAATCATTCCCTGGAGGGCTTAATTTTCTCCCAGAACCTGAGCAGAGAAAGACTGTCTGCCAAGTATAACTAAAACCCATTTCCAAACACTGAGACCACTGGCTTCTAATCTGTATTTTTCTCCTTCAAATACAGTAAGCTGAAGTCTCACACACCTTTTCCTGGTGGAAGCACCAAAGATCGGCATAGGAAGGGCTCACGGTAGAGCCCATGACGTCAAACTGCTGGGTCCTATGACCCGCCAGGAAAGGGTGCAGCCCACAAGTGGCCCAAGCCCATGCTCAGGACAAGAGCAGGCTGCTTTGCAACACAAGAATTTCCCAAGACAGACCTGAGAGATACCTGAGCAACACAGACCGGTCCATCCACAGGAGGACCAGGACAGACTAGGGGAGGGAGGTTTCTAGAAGACATTTCAGTGGAACATAGAAACTGCATAAAGTCAAACATTCTAATTTGACAGTTGAGAAAACGGGAGACCTGTGTAAACAAAACAACTCATTCAAAACACACTGGCACTCATTTCCGCCAACTCTCATTTCCGGTTTCCCACTCAAGCAGGCTACCCACCCAATCACAGACATTTTGATACAGAGAAGAAATTGAGAGAACCTGCTTGAGTATTCAATAACCAATTCCCACGTGTGCCTGTCTCTCCAAAGGAGGCAGCAATAACACACGCTGAGGTGGGGCAGGTGGTCTGAGCCTGTCTCCCTTGCCAACACTTGGGAACGCCATTTTCTCATCAGAATTCAGGGCTAACAAGGACTCTGATCTGTTAGCCACTTGGGAGCTAAGCTCCTCTTGGTTCAACACGCTTCATCTCACTATGAACCTCGCTGTTTCAGTTCATTCAGCTTGGTTTAATAGCATGTATCAGAGGGAAGACAGGACCAAAATCTGCAGAATACAATTCAAAGGAGACATGCTCGTTCCTGACGATGTCTTGTAGACTGTCTGCCTGTTCCCCTACAGTGTCCTCATTTCACAAACGGTGGCACACGTGGGTGTGCCAAGAGTTTCATGAAGCCAAGAGAGGCTTTAAGCCATTTGCCCAAACTCAGCAAACTAGTTAAGTTCTAGCCCATCTAGGAGAAAGGATAAGGATGCATCACCTGAAACACGAAGAGTCAAGGAAACAGCCTTGGATCCACCGGACACTTGTATCCAATGGTAAGGGGTTCAGAGGCCCCACATGCCAGGTGGGCCCCTCCCTGCACTCTAGCGTTTCTGAGCTGTTACCTCCAGAGCTCGCTCCCTCATCTGACACTGACATCTGCGTGTACTTGGCTTGACTGTGAGAAAACAAACACTCTAGTGCCCAACACAGGGTCGGTTATAGATGGTCAGAAGTTCCCAACACCCTTCCGGAATCCAGTAGCACCCTCTTCAAAACCTACTCCCACTCTTGGAAGGACTACCTCTAAGACAGTGGTCTTCAAACATTAGGGTGCAGACTAGGCCTTGCCCCTAGTTTCCCATTCAGTAGGTCTGGGGTAGGGCCAATAATTTCCATTTCTAACTAGTTCCTACAGGACGCTGATGCTGCTGGTCTGGGACCCCACTGTTAAAGTATCACTGCTATAACACACACCGCAAATTCAATATTTAATTAAAAGCACCACAGATAACATTCCAGGTAGTCTGAAACTATACCTCGCAATTTCTTTATTAACTCTGGTTCTCATTTCATCTTCTTCAACTGCACTTGCCCAGTCTGAACATCTAGATCGGGGCTTAGGGCCTTCAGGAGTGGTGAAGCTGCAAAATAAAACGGAGATGCGTATGTGAACCATGACACGTATCTTGAGTCTCCTTTGAAACCACAGATCAGGAAACAGAGGCCGTCTGGCATAATGCCAGGAGCTTCGGGCTCAATCAGATTTGACAGAGAACCTCTGAAGCCTCACTGGGCTCTAGTCGTCAAACTTTTGCTTCGCAGCCAAGTGTGCCAGCTTTCGCTAAACATGGGGACAAGTGGGTGGGGAGACAGGCAGGCAAAGCTACAAGTCATCGTCAGTGCCAAGAAGAGCACCTAATACAGCTTTTATTTGCAAAATGCGGAGTTTTTTCCTAGGTTGTAAGAAGGGAGCAAATAAGATGATACATTTTTAGTTTAAAGTGCTGGCATGCAGTAGTATGATACTCACAGAACTCCTAACAGTGGCTGTGATTTACCTTCAGGTTCACATGATCACCAACTCAAAACATATTACACCGCAGTAAAAACACGGGGCCCACGTAGAAATGTCAGGATCCTTGACACGTTAGGACTTAAGTCTACTGTTAAGGTGCCACCTGTTGCCTGTTGTTAGGTGCCATCCGGTCAATTTCAACTCATAGCGACCCTACAGGGCTGAGGAGATCTGCCCCATATGGTTTCCCAGGCTATAATTTTCACAGCAGATGGCCAGGTCTTTTCTCCCTTGGAGCCAGCAGGTAGGTTTGAACCACCAGCCTTTCAGTTAATAGCCAAGTGCTTTACAGTTGCACAACCAGGGCTCCTTAAAGGTACCACTTAGAGTTGGGTGGCACCGTGGTTAAGCACTCAGCTGCTAACCAAAAGGTCAGCAGTTGGAAGCTACCAGTCGCTCTAGAGGAGAAAGGTACAGCAGCCTCCTTCCATAGAGATTACAGCCTTGGAAACCCTATGGAGCAGTTCTACTGTCCTACAGGATCGCTAAGAGTCAGAATCGACTCAATGGCAATGGATTTGGTTTGGTTTTAGAGTTAGATTAAACCTAGTCCAGGACCCTGTTCTATCTTACGCCCAAAGAAATCTTTAGTCAAGGTCAGACAATGTGAAAACGTAAAAGCCTCAATGCCAAGAAATCCAGCACTTAGAATCACTGATGTCTGTTGTTTATAAATTCGGCCTAAACTTAGATTTTTATTTTCGCCACATTTCTGTTGGCCACCACTGGTGTACCAAAACTAGATGCTCTCTTAACTGTCACTTCTTCCCTTAGAATCACACCATCCAGAGAAACTCAAACCGGATTTCCCAAAGTCAGTTTCCAGATCCAAAAAAATGGTTGGAAAGGCCTGAAATCAAAATTAGCTCATTAACAGAAAGTTACATTAACTCAATAACTGGATAGGAAATAAGAGTCTGGAGCCAAACGAAGGCTTGTTCAGGGCTGAACATCGACAGCCTATTCAGCCCGTCAAGAGGTTCAACCTGGATCTCCCAGGTGAGATTCCTGAACTAGATCATTTCAACACACAAATTTATAGAGTGCTTAAAACATACTTTGGTAGTATAACAGAGAATACCATTCATGGTTCACTGACCTACCAAAGAGAGTACTTTTGGAGAAAGTACTCAAGTGGAAAACAAAAGCCTATTTTACACATTGAGCTAATCTCTCTACAAATGGCCCCTTCACCCTGCCCCACCCGATCATCAGCCAGCACTCCTGCAGCTGGAGCAGCCACTCAACTCATCAGGGCTGCTGTTACTTCCCTACTCGAGTCAGCAGCAGTATGCAGGGTCCTGCTTTGCATGAGCGCCAGCTGTGTGGGAGCACCACCAGGGAGCCCCCAGGACACCACTCCCCGATAAGGGCGGTGCTTCTCTTCCACACCCACTACCACAGGAGGACCTGGTCGTACGGTAGGTATCCTCTGCCATCCTCACTCCCACTTCCTGATCATTTTTCCTCTTTTCAAGTTAACGCATGCACCATCTATCGGCCCACAACCCTCCTGGTTGCAGTGTTACCTCTTGGTTATCCCCTCTCAGGAATCAAGCTGTCACACCTAACTGGGACACTCCACCCCTGCCCCACTCCCAGCATTCCTCTGGATGTCGATGGATTCCTGCATCCACAAGCACTTCCTGGGTCAGGAGCTGGGGATGACACTACTCTCAGGAGTGTAAACATCAGTGAGGGGAACCAGTATAAGTTGATGTAAAGCTCAGGTAGCGATTAACAAAAAGCAGCGGGCAAGTGTGGGGTGGGCTCACTACCAGGGCAACGGTGCGAATCACTTAGCACCAAAAAAAAAAAAAAAAATAGAACTAAAAAAAATCACCTGAACTACAAAAAAAAAAAAAAAAAAAAAAATACACAAACCCATTGCCGTCCAGTCAATTCTGACTCCACGAGTTACAGAGTAGAACTGAGCTCCATGGAGTCTTCTCAGCTGTAATCTTTGGGAAGCAGATCATCAGTGTTTTCTTCTGTAGTGCCACTGGGTGGATTCAAACCACCAATCTTTAGATTAGTTGCTAAGTGCAAACTGTTTGTGCCCCCATGGACCTTACCTAAACACCAAAAGGCTCAATAACTGACTTAAGTGTGGGCCAAGGTTTATTTACATGTCACTGAGAAATACTTCAACCAGCCAAGTATTCCACAATCACGTCGTGTTGTAAGTACCTTAACTAGTCAAGAAGGTAGCCAACAACTCTACCTCCCTCCATGGGTCACCTCATTCATACAGGCAAGACCTCCACCGCCAGAAAGTGACCCAGAAACTGCATCTACGCGGCGTATCTTTGCACCTCTTAACAAGGGGAGCAGAGAAAAGAGGGTGTATGTGTGTGAGCAAGATTTTCAAAAACCGCAAACCTGTTCAGTAGTCCCACTAAAGCCTGTCTAACACCCCCTCCACCAAGGAAAAAAACTCACACTGGATCTGTGACGGGCGCAGTTGCGCTTGATTAGTAACCTAAAGGTTTGTAGTTCAAACTCACCCAAAGGTGCCGTGGAAGAAAGTCCTAGCGACCTGTTTCCTTAAAGATTACAGCCAGGAAAGCCCCATAAAACAGTTCTACTCTGCCCCACACAGGGTCGCTATGAGTCGGAACTGACTCCACGGCCGCCGGTTTGGTTTTGGTTCGGTTATGTGCCCCGTGGAAAGGAGACAAACGCTCTGGCAGGGGGCCTGAGACCTGTTTGAACGAAACCCCCCGCAAAGAACCCTGGGGCTCGGGGGCGTCCCGGCGGGCCCGCACCTTTCCAGTCTGTGGTCCGCGCGCCTGCGCTCGTGGTCGTCAGGGGACGCGGAAGGGTCGCAGTCCTCGGACTTCCTGCGTTTCCCGTCGGCTCTGCGCTTCCGCCCCAGGGACCATCTGGCTGGAAAATGCGGGCTGCTCACAAAGAGACGGTAATCGGTCAGCGGCCGACGCGGACCTCTCCCAGCCTCGCCCACCCTCGACCCCCGCCGCCCGAGGGCGCCCGCCCGCTTCCGGCCCGGCCAGGCCCGCCGCGTCCCAAGCCAGGCCCACGGACTCGCAGGCGTTCGGCCCGGTCTCACCTGGCGTCGCCGTACCGGGGAGGGCTTCGCGGCCGGCAGGCCATGGCGGGCGGAGGGCGGGGAGGCGCGTGGGGCCGCGGGGCCGCGACGCACCGACTCAGGGAGGCGAACGGAGGCGGCGAAGCGGCGACGCAGAAAGAGACAGCCCTTCCCGCACCGGCGCTGACAGAGTGAGCACGCGCCCCGCCCCCAACCGCCTTTAAGTGGACTCCAGGCCCCGCCCCTCGGAGCTCCCGCGCGCGCCGGAGCGGGGCGCAACCATCGGGTCCACGGTGGCGGGGGGAGCCCAGCTCAACTGCGCGCGCCTCAGAGGCTGCCTAGGCCTGGACTGAGTGTCTAGGAAACCTTTAACTCTGATCGCTACCATCTGGGGAGGCGGATCGACGCCGTCGTCTTCATGAGGAGAGATCCGAGGGAAAGGTTGCTCCCCTCGGATATTGAGGCAGCTGGGCCGCCGCGGGCCCCTCGGAAGCCGATTGGCTACGCCTTCGCGGGAGGAGGGGGGTATTGGCGGGAGATTCAGACGCGCGCGGTGCGGGGGTCAGAGGGAGCGTCTTTGATTGGTCTTGGCTCTGGTGGGGAGCTACCTGAGGATAGTCTCCCATTGCCCCGATCCACGTCGGGGCGCGCCTTCGCGCTGGCGGGAAACCCGGAACCCGGAAGGCGCGGTCTGTGGTGTTCGCTCCTCCCGTCCCCTGCGGCGAGATAAACCGGGGAGCTCCTGGGGCTGTAGCCGCCGTAGGGCCCCAGGGCGAGTGGTTTCCGCCAGTTTGGCCGCGGGTCCCGCAGACTGCGGATCCCTTCCGGGCAAGGCGCAAGGAGCTGGGATGTGCCCGAGACCCGCACCTGCGTCCGCCCCAGTAGCAGCCGCCCCGGGCCGTCGCGTCGGAAGGAGCGATGGAGGCTGGAACGGAAAGGACAGGGCTCAGGACAGGCCTCTCCGAAGTGGACAGTGTAGCCGAGCCCTGAGGGGATCGGAGACCCTGAGGGAGGAGGGGCCCAGGGATGGTCAGGTGCATGGAGGAGGATGTGGGGTGAGGGAATGAAGCCGGGGCGCAGGACTCTCGCTGCACCCCTCCCCACAGCCTCTCTAGACAGGGGAGTTTCACTCTATCTCACGCCCAGTACTGTGGGGCCTCCTTCCCGCTGTGAACCCTTGCGAGAGATGCCTGCTTAACCCCACGTACTTAGACAAGCTCACACCAGAATCTTGTCCAAGCTTTAGTGCAGACGTCCGCCGGTGCTAGGCCATGCCTCTGGGCGGCCCCGACCCCATGCTGTGCAAGATAGAGCAATACTGTCACAACGACCCAGCTCACAGCCAGAACCACTGCCAGACTCCCTCGCGGTAATTTTCCATGCGCCTTCCCTCTTCCCCTCGTAGTTTTTCAGGTTCCCTTCCCTCTTGTGCCCCTTAAAAGCCCTAGCTGCCTTTGTGTTAATCAGAGTTGAGACTAGTCTTTGGTTTCCCTCCCCTGCTGCAGCCTGAGCAAAGTCTATCCTGCCATTTTAACTACTGCTCTCGGCTTTTCTTTGACCCTTCACTGGGCTGTGACTTGGATCTGGATTGGAACCACCACTGATCCAGTGCCCTGGACGCTAGTCCTTTGTAGCACAGTAACGGTAGACTTAAGGAGCCCTGGTGACGCAGTGGTTAAGCGCTCGGCTGCTAACCTAAAGGTGTCCAGTTCAAACCCACCAGCCACTCTGCAGGATAAAGATGTGGCAGTCTGCTCCTGTAAAGATTAAAAAAAAAAACAAACCCAGTGCCGTCAAGTCGATTCCAACTCATAGCGACCCTATAAGACAGGGTAGAACTGCCCTACAGGGTTTCCAAGGAGCGCCTGGTGGATTCAAATTGACCATCTTTTGGTTAGCAGCTGTAGCTCTTAATGACTACACCACCAGGGTTTCCAACGCTGTAATCTACATGGAAACAGGCTGCCTATCTTTCTCCCACAGGACAGCTGGTGTTTTGAACCCCCGAACTTTTGGTTAGCAGCTGACCTTTTAATATACTGCTCTCTATACCACTCAAAAGTGATTAGGTTTAGGGCACATCCTACAATGATATCGTCTCATTAACATAACAAAGAAAACCCTATTCTCAAATGGGATTACATCTGTTACGGAAGTAAGGATTCCAGCAAGTTTTGGGGGGGACACAATTCAATCTATAACGGAGGCTATTCTTATTAAAATTGATTCATCATGTGCTCAGAACTGCAGACAACAAAAAGATGAAACTGGCAAATTGTCACCACCAATTAGAAATTACCCAGGGCTTGAACTAAATCCTCAGACAGCCTCTGCTCTGCCCACAAGTTTTGTAAACAGTCTTAAGCCAGAGCTTCATCACGTTACCCAAAAATAACTGGCAAAATACGGAGATACCCAAACTTCAAACTAGCCCAACATTATGAAGAGAGTATCTTCAAGAAAACAGAAAACACACAACACAAACACATGACATTACAATTAAAACAGGCTGAAAATGTTGACAAGACAAGCTCCTAAGGGGCAGACTCACACTGATTAGGACACTTGTTGCTATTGCAAAGAAAAAGGCCACTGCGCCCAAGACTGCTCAGCCGTTAGAGAGAAAAATGACTCCAGACTCTCAGGACTATCGACTCCTCTCTGAGGAAGTAATTATCGAATGCCCTCAGTTACTACTCAACTCCCAAGGAGAAATTACAAGTTGAAGGGCATCCCACCACATTCCTCATTGACACAGGGGCAACTCATTCCCCGCCCCCAAATACCACTTTCTTCTCTCCCGTCTTAGCCTCTGAGCCACGGACCCTACCTGTGGGGGCTTTGATCATTTACCCCATGATTTACCCTGTCCAAGCCACTTGATATTTCCATGGGTCCTCTGATTTCCTTCTCAGCCCTATGGTGAAATGAGTTCCTTTACATGGCCTTTTGCCTTGGTTCTTTGGAAAAACAGCTTGAGAGGTTTTTCACCTAAACCCTGAGGAGTTACCTTTGCCCTAGTTTTTATGCCTGAGGGTTTGTTACTTTTGTCCAGGTTGACTGACATTTCCTGGGCAAGCTGTAAACAACTTGACTTTTTGGTCTCTCCCTGGGCTGCAGTCTGCCCTGTCATTGGTATGCACCTTGCAGGGATTGGTTAATACACCCACAGAAATTAAGTGACTATGGGCTATGTAAATTAGGTGACTCGCCTACTATGCAAATGAAGTGTCTGTGGCCTACTGAGAGGGGATTGGTCAGTTTGTTCCCTCCCCCCTGCTGGGAAGGGCCATGCCTTGAAAGTGACAAGGAGAGGTGGGTGTGTGCACGCACGCGTGTAGAGACAGAGAGAGAGAGAGAGAGAGAGAGACAGGCAGCCATCAGGAAGATGGGAGATAGAAAAAAGCAGAAAGGACTGAAGCCACTCCCAAAGTTCACCTTTTGGCAAAAGATTAGATAGGCCTGTAAAACAAACAATGACACACATGAGGAACGTGCTTCTTAGCTCAATCAAATATACGCGACCAAATGGGCAACACCTGCCCAAAAGCAAAGATGAGAAGGCAGGAAAACCGGACGAATGGAAATAGGGAACCTGGGGTGGAAGGGGGGAGAGTGCTGACAGGTTTCAAGGATTGCAACCAACATCAGGAAACAATTTGTGTATAAATTTTTGAATGAGAAACTAATTTGCTCTGTAAACTTTCACCTAAAGCACAATACAATAAATAGAAAAGAAGCAGAAAGGAGAAATGGCAAGAGAGAAAGGCAAGAAACCTCCTAAAAGAGCTGTACCCAGGACTTCAAACCCGGTCTTTCCTGGTCAAACCCCTGCTGAGAATTTGCATTTCCACCCCAGATATACTGAATCAGAATCTATAGTTTAACAAGATCCTCAGGTGATTCTCATGTATAATAAATTTTGAGAACCACTGCTCTACTAGTGGTTCTCAGAATTGGTCCCTAACCAGCAGCATTAGCATTGCCTGGGAACTTGTTAGAAATGCAAATTCCCAGCAGTGGTTCAATCAGAAAGAACCGGTTCAAAGCCCTGGCTGTAACATGGATCAAAGGCTGTAACACTGAAGACAGTGACAGGCCCAGAAGGGGCCCAGCAGCAGAGTCAGTGGTGACAGATGGCAGGGCCAAGAGGAGCCTGTCCTCGGGGCCAAGAGGAGCCCTGCATGGCCAAGAGAGCTGTACTGAAGAAGGGAGGCTTTTTGCCTGCATGCTTCCTGATCGTTATCCTGAGTTGTACCCTGTTCCTTAATAAACCATGCAACTGTAAATACACTTGTGAGTTCTGTGAGATGTTGCAGTGAATTGCCAAATCCAGACAGGGGAGGGAAGAGTGCTGAGGGGAGGGAGAGTGGTTGGTGTCAGAGATGGAGTGGTGCAGCAGCTTGGAGAATGTGGAAATCAGGGATGTACTTGACCTCTGCCTCTTAGGAATTGGCTTTGTGCTGATGCTTATATTTGAAGTTATTGGTACACCTGTTGTTAGTTGTTGTCAAGTTGACTCTCACAGCAACTCCACGTTCAACAGAATGAAACATTGCCCAGTCCTGTGTAATCGTTGGTCTGCTCGAGTCCGTTGTTACGACCACTGTGTATTTTGAGTGCCTCCCAACCTGGGGTGCTCATCTTCCAGCACTGTATCGGCCAATGTTCTATTGTGATCCCTAAGGAAGGAGATCACCAGGCCTTTCTTCCTAGTCTGTATGAGTCTGGAAGCTCTGCTGAAACCTGTCCACCATAGGTGACCCTGCTGGTATCTGAAATACTGGTGGCATAGCCTCCAGCATCACAGCAACATGTAAGCCACCACAGTATGACAGATGGGTTTTCTCAGACCTACTACCCCAATAAATCTATTAAGGAGAGACCGTCTCATGAATTGGGGTATCAAGATCCATTGTGCCCCCAAAGGACTCATTTTACAAGCCCTTGACTCAGCTTCACCTCAGAAGTGCTCTTTAACAGCTTGATTTGATTTTCCCAAATTTCTCTGTCCCCTCAGTCCTCACTAGCCAGCACCCACCTAACAGAGGACTCAAACAATCTATTAGACAAAATTTCTCCTTCCTTGTGGGCAAAAATCCCGCTGATAATTGGACATATATGGAACGCAAAACCTGTTAAAGCAGAAATATTCCTATCCACATACCTTCCTAAGATCCCTCAACAAGACCCCTATTAAATCAGAAGGACTTGAGGGACTTCAAGGGTTATTAGATAAGGGACTTCTGGCTCCCACTCACCTTGTTGCCATCAAGTTGGCTCCGACTCATGGACAGAACAAAACATTGTCCAGTCCCGTGCCATCTTCATAATCATTACTGTGCTTGAATCCATTGTTGCGGTCATTGTGTATGTTGAGTGCCTTCCAACCTAGGGGCTTCGTCTTTCAGCACTGTATCAGACAATGTTCTGTTCTGACCCATAAGGTTTTCATTGCTCCTCTTCTTGGGGCTGAATAGGCCTGAAGTTTCTTGCAGAACCCCTGGCTCAGTGGGGGAGGCCCTACGGACCACCAAGGCCCTACTTAGAGGTGAGGAACCTGGAGATCCTCCCACCCTGCGCCCGTCCTATCCTGCTTCCCAGACCAGCAGGGCTCCCGCAGGTGGCACTGCAGTCCCTGGCCAAACAGGCCCCTGGGCAGGCATACACTGCACCTGCAGGCCAAGCTCCCAGAGTTCCCAACTGGTCCAAGATGAGGGATGCAGGGCTGCACGCAGAACCAGCCAAAGTGGTGGGCAGTAGAGGTCAAGAAGGCTGAGCCCAGGGGGAGAGGCTTCAGTGTCACTCCCCACTCCCACCCTCTTTTGAACCCACCCTTCCCCTTGCCTCCTAGGCCCTGTGTGTCCCGGTCATGACCCTTAGCACAGATCCAAAATGAACTCCAAGGGACATGAGCCCCAGAGCTAGGCCAGGGTCTGGCACACAGCAGAGGCCAATGACAGTTGTTCAATAAAGGTTTCACCACTTCCATGCGATGGGTTTCTTGTATATATAGCCTTTCTGCCCTTGGGTTTATAATTCTGCCAAAAATGATTGGTTGGGCTGTAGTCTGCCCTGTGATTGGTCTATTTATGCACCTTGCAGGGATTGGTCAATTTACTATGCAAATAGGGTGTTTAAAATCACCCAATAGGATGAGTGACCTTGTGGGGATTAGTCACTTTGTGGCCTGGCTGGGAAGGCCATGCCTTGAAATTGATAAGGACTTTGTTTATACAAGCAGCCAACCTGACAGAGGTTTTTAGAGAAAGAAATAATGGAAGAGAGAGGGAACCTCCTAAAAGAGCTGTAATACCGGGCAAAAGCTCTAACACTGAAGACGGGGTGAGATGGTGGTGGCAGTACAAATGGCGGGAACCACAGGACCGGCAGCCGGCTGCGTGGTGCTTGCCCGCCCAGACAGAATGCTGAGCACCTTCGCGCAGGAGGCTTGCTGGCAGAGTGGGGTGCCTCCAGGCCCTGCTGGCAGAGCCCGAAGAGCTGTAACACTTGACCGAGCAGGGCAGAGGTCCAGGAAGGCCCAGTGGCAGAGGCAAGGCCCAGTGGTTGAGAGGAGGGCCTGCCTCTGGGCACAGCTGGGGAGGTGAGGGCTGTCCTGGCTGAAGTTGTCCTGACTGATGAAGTTGATCCATCTCCTGAGTTCTATCCTGTCACTTCCAAGTTGATTCTGATCCTGAGTTGTAGCCTGATACTTCCTTAATAAACCACTGAACTAGAAGTGCGGTCTGTGAGTTGTGTGTGGCCATTGCAATGAATTATCAAACCCAGCAGAAAAGTAGAGTGTTATGG